AGTTCAGTTTATAAGTTGCAAATGACTGATTGCGTTTCAATTTATAAGTGTACTATAAACTTAAAATATTAATTTATTAAAATGAATACACTAAATAATAATTATAGACAGTATCAGCAAGTTAGAAATTATAACCTACTTTAATTTTATTTTTTGCTCCACAACCAAGCTTCAATTTATGTTTTACTCGATAAACAAGCTTCAATTTTAATTCCTAACTAAGGAAAGTAATATTTACCCAATAAATAAATTAGAATAAAGACTTTTTATGTTGCAATCGGCTATTTAGATATAACTATATTTTTATTCATTTGTTTTTCGATTTTTTGTAATTAGTTATTTTGCATTTTTTTATATTTAATATAATGCTATACAGGGTGTTTCTGGAGAAACGCAAACGGTATGGATTTGAAATTTTAATAGAATATACAATTTGATTTAGACTATACATAAAGTCAATAGTTTTCAAGATATTAATTTTTTTCGTTAAAATGCACGTTAATCAAAATAGCCTCTAATTTGTTTGTTATTATGTTTGTTGACATGGGGTTGGAATTTTTGGAATATTAAAACATTGTTTAGTTTTTTAAAGGTTTTTCAACAAATACCTTGAGAAAAACCACTTGAAATTAGGCAAACTTCAAACAATAACAACGTTTTTATTATAAATGTAAAACCCTGTATGTTTTAACATAATCAAATAAAACATTAAAGAATCTTTCGATTGGTATTATAGTAACTCTTTCCTAAAGTTAAAATTTCAGAGACATTTAACAATTTCTAATATTCAATACTATTTTGTATCAACAAACCTCTGAAATTCTACATGTGGTTTAATGTAACAGTATCCATGGTTACCACCGAATCTGTCATTGTTTAAAATTAATTAAAATATTTGATTGAAAAAATAATAACTCAAAAAATATTGACTTTAGGTATAGGATATGGTATAGCCATTTTACTCAGAATTTTATGTAGAATTAAATAATGTAAAAATATATGAGGTATTCCGGTAAAACAGGAAGTATTATTTTGTTTAAAATAATTTAGGAAAGCGAATACTTTACGCTATTAAAATTTTAAATCGATGTCTCGCGATTCCCTAGAAACTTCCAACGGACTAAGTACGTGAAACACCCTGTATATTAAACGTCATTTATGTGTTATGCTTTACTTAATTATTAATAAAAGACATACAATATTTGTATAAAAATGACAAAATGTAGGTACTAAACTAAGCATTTATGAATACTGCTACTGCTAATTCAAAACTGATCCTGGCCACAGAAACATCATTTGCATAAAAAAGTTAATATATCAAATAATAGTCAAATATCAATACTTTCACGTGCTATACTCAAATTTATAAAACAAAGTTGCTTCTTCGATTATTTACCCTTTAAAAATTGTTAAATTTTAAACAAAATTATTACCAGCGCCCCCTGTACGTTATAATCTAAGCAAAATTTTTTCATGGATTAATTGTCATTAGTAAGATCTACATTTTGTCCAAATTTCAAATCGATACGTTTTGAAATAAAAAAGTTATTTAAAAAAAAATGAAATTTCTTCATTTTTAACACAGCGAAGAAAAAAATTAAAATAAAAACAAAGTTGTCAATGGACGAGATTTTTTTTTTGAAAAAAGTACTGCATTAAGATGTAGAAATAAGGTAAAAAAGTTTCAATCGATTTCTTGAACCCTTGCAAATCGACCGTTCGATCCTTTCGCGAAACCGTAGTTAATATATTACACTTAAAGTGATTGAAATTTATTGAAAGTTTCAATAAATTTCATAAATTTCATGAAATTTCAGAAATTTAGGAAATTTTAATAAATTTCATAAATGTCGTGAAAATTTCAAGTGAAATTTCAAGTACAAGTAAAAAGTGAAATTTTCCCAACCCTACCTATAACTCAGAAACGGTTTATCGTAGGAATACAAAGTTAATTTTGTAGGTTTTTCAAAATAAAGAACTTTATCAATTAAATTTTTTTTTGTATTTTTTTGTACAGATTATAATTTATATAAATCTTTATTACTAATACAAATTTTAAATATTTTAGGGGATTCTAGATTTAATTACATGTATTGAATATAAAAAATAATGTAGGAAAAAATAAAATCAAATTTAAAATTAACATACTTAAATTAAAGTTGTCGCGTATACTCTTAAAATATTATATACTTTTTTAGATCATAACTGCAGGGTCTGGCTCAAATTAAATTTATCAGTAAATAAAAAAATAAATTTGTTTAAAATAGATAGTTAATTTTTATGGAAAATATTTAATAGAAAACATCAATACACAGGAAAAGGCTAAAATTTAAAAGAAAATATTTTAGTTACGAGTTTTATTAAGCATGAGCGAAGCTTTCAAGCGAGTGTTTAATAAAAACGAGTGTCTAGATAAGTTTATAAAACGAGTTGCATACTATACTTTATCTACGACGACCACAAAGAAGAATTTAAATCCAATTTTATTTGTTAAACATTTGACATCTGTCAAATGTCAACGGAATTAACCTCACTTTTCTCTAATTTATAATAAAGCTAACTTCAGCCGGTGACTAAAATGCCCAAAAGCCACTGTTGTTAACTTCAGCCCGTGACTAAAACGCAATAAAGTCACAGCTCGTCAATTTAGGACTAGATAAAATTATTTAAACAAGGTATGCTTGAGTAAAATATTCATAGAAAAAAATCCTATAGTAATTTTACACGGTACAAACAAACCGTTGTCATAGCAACGTGTGTAATTTGTAATTTTTAAATTTTCACTTATTTTCACTAAATTTTCACTTATTAATTTAGTACTTGTTACATTGTTACCATGAGTGAAATATTCATAGAAAAAATCCTATGTTAATTTACATATTATGTAAAAATTATCGGGGGTAATTACACAAGTGCTTAAAAATTATCGATAATTTTGCTTGAAAGCATATTGCCTAAAAAATGCATGAGTTCATTTTCATATTTTCAAAATATGAAAATGACCGAATGCATTTTTTAAAAGGCAATATGCTTGAATGCAAAATTATCTGATTATTTTTATGCACGAGTGTAATTTGTTTAGATAATTACACGAATAAACTAATTAAATCAAAGAATAACATTTTCATTTTAATTTCAACACAAAACTTCATTTAACATTATTCAATAATTGATTCAAATGATTCTTTACCAAAACGTGACATTTAAAATAACTGTCACATTAAAATAAAAACTGACGTTATTTTTATTAATTGCCATGGATACGAAGATACAATGGAATTATCGATTCCTAGTAGACAATTATCGCTTTAATCAAGCGATAATTGTCTTGTAGGCATATATAAGAGGGTAATTATCGATTTAATAATTATGTTAATTATGTTTCGTCTCCGCGCAAGAAAAAGTGACCTACCGGGCTACATTTTATCCGCTTTATCCCTCTTTGTGTAACGTACCCGCTTGAATCCAACGCTAAAAGCCTAACTTGCAGAAACCAAGGCCTTGAGTGCCACCATCATCACCATCAATAAGGTAGGACTTTACTTTGTAGTATTCTTACCGCCCACGTTTTATCACCTAAGTCAGTCAACTAACACCACCAACCCCTATTTTCTCACATTCATACTGTCCACTGCCTACCAAATTAAAACATGTCTTTTATACCCTAAAATACTTGACCGAGATTTTTACCTTTTTTGACAGGAGAAGTTTTGACCATGTCAAAATCGGTCAAAAACTTTTAATTCAACCGCGCGCGGCAACCGCGCTACCTAGCGGAAAATATCAAAAGTATTAAAAAAATGTTCTTTAGTGGACCATGGCGCAATCATAATAATGCTTTTTAAATACTATTCTGGATCATTTTTGACTAATTAATTTTAAGTCATAAAAGACAATGGCGAGGGTGGGTTCAATGACGAGGATGATGTGTCGTTATCCACACATGCTAGCACCGTGTTGTCGGTTTTTGGTTCTTAAAAGAACCGTATGTCTGACCACATTTCGGTACAATCTCATGTACCATCTTCAGGTCTTATCTGCTGGGCTGCTGTTGCTGCTCTGCTGCGAGTTAGACGTTAATGTTCTTAAAAACAATGATATTATTAATTTGACGAGAGCGGAATATGCAATTCCAAACGTGTTTCAGACTATACTTTTTCTACGTTTCCAAAAAATACCATAGAAAAATAATTTAATTGGAAGAAAGTGAGGTTGGTTGGTCTAAAATTTGTTAGATATTAAAAACAGAGATGTCGCCACGAGTGATTATTCTGTCATCAGATAATAGAATATTTTATTCTGTAACACTTTACGGAATATATGTCATTCCATAGATAAAAGTTATATTAGAAGGGTCAAATTCCGTAATAGGAGTAGAAAAAATATGTTTCAACACTTTACATTCGAGAAAAAACATGTAGCAGCGAAATAAATAAGTTAATAATTGTTAGTGCAAGTTTTCACAATTTAGCAGTTGGCTACCTAAATGTTAAATGTTATAACTTTTAATATTTGTTGCGATTTTATAAAATCGCAACAAATATTAAAAGTTGCGATCGCAGTAGCAGTTTAAAATAGCTGCTATTTAAAAATAGCAATATCAGTTAGCATTGTAAAGCAAATTTCGCAATTAAGCTCATCACTAGTAACAACTAAACTACCATTAAAAAGTGCTTAGCATCCTATAATATAACTTAAATTATCCCTTATTCAAGTTATTTCTTCATGCGAAATAATCACAGCAAACATATTTTTCGGATGCTTGGCAAGTCAAAATCATTGTTCAGTTCGTGCTTAATGCAACGAAAGCTTTCGACTAGCGCTGCCACTTAACTACTTTTGACTGCTGGCGGACCAAAATAACCCATTGTTCAAAACTCAGGTAGCCGCTTTCAAATTCGAGTGGACAAACAAAACGGAGCTCGTGTTTTGCTTTTTGTGGTTTGGACCCAACAAATGAACATCGATTGGTTTTCACTATTTTAAATAAAGGTAAAAAATTATGATCTAAATAATTTTTATTGTTATTTGATTGTTAAACAGCTATAAGGATGTAATCAGTTCTTGCACAATACTTATCCAGAGGTTTGGAAAGACCTCTCAAACTTTTGATGTATTTCTTGGTTAAATCACTATCTACGGTCTCCAAACATGTGGTAGAGTAAGTTTTGGAGATGGCACAGTCTGGAATTGATGAGCCTGTACAGGAATCAGCTTTGTTAAGAGTCCCATTTGAAGAGTGAAGCCAAAAATGGATGCGATCTAAGCATGGGCATTTCCATGGATTTCCATCTAAGGTTAATTCAGAGACTGAGATTTTGTTTAGTAATTCGTTTGATAGATAGTTTAAATAGTTGGCGTCCAGTAGAAGGGATCTTATTTTAAGTGAAGATGGAAATATATTTTCATTAATTGAGACTAGTCTGTTAAATCGTAACCCTAGATAGTCAAGGTTTTTCAGACCTATGAAAGCATTATCATGAATGTTGGAAATTTCGTTGTAATCAAAAAATATTTGCTTAAGGTTTTGAAGGTTTTCAAACGCTCTTCTAGGCAGTGTTCTAATTTTATTAAATTGAAAATCCATGATTTCCAAAGAAGTACTATTAGTAAACCACTCTCTATTCCAGTACTCCAACATATTATTGCCAGCATATATCTTCTTCAATCCCGGCAAGTTCGCTAACGCTTGATCAGCAATTATATCGATCTCATTATTATGAATCCTCAGCAACTCCAATGTAGGTGCAGCATGAAAAACATCCCTGGATATTTCCTTCAAATTTCCGTATGATATCTGCAGGTTTTTTAAACGCGGTAAGTTTCTGAAAGCCCCAGATTCCACGTTGACTATGTTGCATCCCCAGAAAACCAGTGTTTTTAGTTTTACCATATTTCTCACCGATTCTCTTCCAAGGGTGGGCAGACTTTGATTGCGTATGTACGCCTCGGTCACTACGTTTTTTTCGTTGAATTCTATGCGTTCTATGCAGCCGTTAACTGTTTTGTTGAAGGGGTCACCTGTAATAAAAAATATTTTTTAACGTTAATATTCTGTTTTTCGTATAAATAATCCTATTATACCTTTTTAAACTATTCTAAGATAAGTATAAATAAACTAACTAACCTGATTTTTGATGAAGCAAAACAGTAACATTCTTAAACGAGTGACAGGTGTGGGAAGTGATAACATGGAAGCACAATACGATATTTAAGAAAATTAAATACGCTTTAAGCGAAGACATTGTTACAATGCGAATGATTGGCGAAGCACTGGCGACTCAGCGAGGTCAATGTTTGTTTACGGGATTTCCGTAAGGTCATCATGGTCATCAAAAATATCCCCCAGTTTAAGATGCTTCGTACACAGCATAAAGAAAACAATTTTTAAAAAAAAATTTTATTTGATCAATATTTTTTTATTTATTTATACCTAATAGGTATATAGGGTCAATGTGATTTTTAACAATATAATTTTATACAAGGTTTACTTTATTTCTTCCTTTTTTTGTTACACAGTAAAAAAAATAGAGTAAATTTTAAACTAAAGTTCACTAATTAGGTGGTATATACGACCAACTTATTTAGAGTTGGATATTTACACTAACAGTAGTGTGCATTGCAGTGTAACTTAAAAAAAAATAGTGCTATTTTTAATCGAAGTGTTAAAATTACTCTAACTCGTGTTATTTATCCTCTTGTTAAATTACTATTTTAACACTTAAAAATGGTTAATTTAGCACTAAATTCGTCTAAATAACTTAAAATGTTTACTAATCTAGAGACAAATTTACACATTTTAGTGTTAAATCCACTCTAAAATAATAAGATATTAACAAAAAATAGATTAAATGATTCATTATATTTAAATATATTTAGTGTTAATTGTTTTTTAATTTACACAATATCGTGTTTTTAATGGGAAAGGGTATACAAACAAATTATTAAATTTATAAAAAATGTATTATAAAATATTAAGGTAGGTTATAGTCGTGTACAGCTATAGTATAGAGTATGATAATTTTATAATATAGGTATTTTATAAGGAATGTGTAGTAGCATACAAGAATTTAAGACGTTTTATTATTACTGATATGAATAATATTAATTATTATAATAATGTACTTACTAATACTAATAATGCACACAAATTCACTGTCACACTGCCAAATTCCAATGAAACAATGAACAAATGCACGCTAGTAGAATGGAAATAGAAACACCCCGTGTGAGAAAATCCCACTAAATAGAGTTAAATCTACAAATTTAAGAGTTAAAATATGCACTAATGTATTATAAGAATTTATTAGAGATATTTAGATAAACCTCTACCATGTACCAGATTTAAAAATAACTCTACAAAAGTTATAATTTAATTGATTTAGGGCCGGTTTATCAAAGTCCAGTTAAAGTTGCAGTTAGTTATCTGGTAGATAATTTCCATGGATACCATTGTTCTCGCAACGATAGATATGGAATTTTACTGTCATCTAGACTAACTGGAACTTAATCAGAGATTGATAAACCGTTCCTTAGTGAAAATATCTACTCTAATTTTGTAAATGTTTTTATAATAGAAATAGAGTTACATTGTGACAAAATAGTGTAAAATATATTTAATCTAAAGTTAGAGTTAAAAAAGAGTTACCTAGATGAAAAATAGATAAGATTGGATTTTAGAGTTAAAATAATGCATACTTTTACCCTAGATTTTAACTCTAATATTTTTACACGGGCTTTTATTTAGTACTATTCAAAGTATTTTCCTAAAAAAAAGGTTAAGGTTTTTTATAAAAAACTTTCTATAAATTCTAAAAATAACCAATACCTACAGTAATATGCTTAGTAGGGTGTCCTTTATTTTCATTCGTCCTATGTTCTATAAAATATATTATAAAAACAAATTCTGCCAAGTTTAAGCCTAAGATTTAAAATACTGTTTATTTTATTGTATTATTTTTGCATTGTTGTCATTTGACAATTTTTTAAAGTTATAAAAGTTCAAATAAAAAATAAACTTGGCAACCCTGTCCATAAACCTACCTATAGGTAGACTGACAATGCAGCAAGCGGCGGAATCATCAGGTAAGGTATAAGGGTGGCTGTGACGAAGTATGAGCAGCGGCAGCAGCGTGGCATGGTGGGACGTCAAGGGGGAAGAAAGGGCGAAATAATGGCGTAATTCGATATCTAGCAAGCGGCTCCCTATTTACACAAACGTTGGCAAGAAAGGAGCATCCGCAACCTCGCACAGTAGTACTTCTTTTTACGGTTATCGAACAATTTATCTCTATGAAAAAGAACAAAATTAACTACCTAAATGTTTTGAAATGTATAGCATTTTTTTTAGTGCAGTATGAATTTGTATAGGTTTTTAAAGGGTTTTTTTCATGTGCAGCTATTTTTTTAGTTTTTAATAATGTTATTTTCTTTATTATTATTTGTATTTAAATTTAGCTTACAGTTTTTTATGATTGTCTATGATTTTTTTCTTATTTTTATGCATTTTGCTTATGAGATTCCCTGCAATATATTTCCTGGAAGATTTCTTGTCATTAAAATAATATGTTACATGTCTGACAAACATTTATATATTTTTGTAATGTATTTATACACATTTTATATTTATATTTTTTAACGTTTTACATACATACAAATGTAATATGTCCCAAAGGAAATAAAGAATTTATTATTATTATTAAATACATTTAAAGTTTAATTTTTATATGTCGAAATAACTACCATTACTTTATTTACTTTTTATGTTTTTGGTATTTTTTATGTTTTATACTAACAAAAGTTTTTCTTAAAAAAATGGTTTTCATTATTTTTTGTCATTAGAATATCAAATTAAGCTATGTAAGACTTAAAATATACCAATAAATGTATAACATGCATATGTATATGGGTATTGTTTTTTATTTCAAGAATGTTATTTTTATTAGAAAAGTTGCGTAAATTCAAGTCTATTAAAATGGCATTTGAAAATTAAAAAACAAATAAGCGCTTCTTAAATAATTTAAAAAAAATTGAAAATCTGTCAAAAAGAAAAATCGTTATAACTTCGTTATTCCTGGGAATTTTAGATCTTTAATTAAAAAGATTCCCAAGAAGCTTTTTAAGTAAAATAGTCGAGGTTTGCGCATGTATTACTTAATTGAAGTAAATATGTAAATATTAACCTTTAAGTAAGAAATTACCAAGATTTTATTATGAATTTTTTTCTTTATACTTAAATATAAAGTTTCACAACCCTAAAGTATTTTATGTAATTTTCGAAGAAAATTACTTATAGGATATTTTATTTTAAGGGATTTATAGCGGTAAGTTCAAGTCAAATTTTTACTACCAAATAATTATTTTTTGTCTGGGAACTTTTCAAGGTTTAGAGTGGCATAAAAAAAAACCTTAATAATAACACACAAAAAACTTGTAGTGTAAAATGTAACTAAATGGGTAATATTTCTGAAAGACGACATAATAAATTTATTATATAAGTTGTTCCAATATTTAATAAAAATTCATACAATTATTGTTTACAAAAAGTAATATATAATCTACCAATCATTAGGAAGTTATTTCAATTAAATGATTTTTAGATTTTTTAATATTGTACTTTAGTCATATATTTATTTTTAGTTTAAAATAAATATATGAGTGTTTACACAGAGGGCATAGGATAAGATGCGTTTGAGTTTTAATGCTAAATATAATTAGTTTTTTCATTCGCTATATCAACTACTAATATAAATTAAAGAGAAAAGGAAAAGTATAAATGTTACAGGTTTAGAAAGAGAGAACAGACATGAAGTAATTTTAACGTTATTTTTAGTAAAAATGAGGCATTTCATTTCTTTTGATTACGTTATTCTGTTCGTCGCTTGGAAAGGTATTATGTAGTAAAAATAACTTAATGAACCATATTTGGTAATTTTTCGTATTTGTACCGATATTTTACCGCTTTCGTTTACTGTAAAAATAACATAAGTAACTTACTATAACTTACTTATTTTAACTTAAAATTATGCTTGGGTATACCTAGAAGGATACTTGGTACACCCAGTGTACAGCAGTGGAAAGCAAGGAAAACCAGTTTTAGCCTGTACATAATTATTTACATGTACATTGTACACTCGTTTCAGAATATATAATAATTTTTTTCTACTCCTATTACGGAATTTGACCGTTCTATTATCACTTTTATCTATGGAATGACATATATTCCGTAAAGTGTTACAGAATGAAATATTCCATCATCCTATGACAGAATAAACACTCGTGGCGACATCTCTGTTTTTAATATCTAACAAATTTTAGACCGATCCAACCTCCCTTTCTTCTAATCAAATGACTTTTCTATGGTATTTTTTGGAAACGTAGAAAAAGTATAGTCTGAAACACGTTTGGAATTGCATATTCCGCTCTCGTGAAACCGTCAAACTCGCCTTTGGCTCGTGTGACAAACTCTTCACTCGAGCGGAATATGCTGTATTCCAAACTTGTTACAGAATATACTATTACTAATACATTTGTTGTTTTCTTAGTGTAGTAAAGGAATTTCGAGATTTTAGTTTATTTTAAAATTTAAAAATGTCGTATTTAACTAGCAACATGCAACGTTTTTAAATTATTACTTTTTCATATTTTGAAATATTAATGAAATATTTAACTATAATTTTAGCTAATTATTCTTTAAAATACATTTCTACAGACCACTGTGTGCATTATGATATAAAACGAAAGCCCGAACCTCAAAAGCAATACCAAGAACGTATGTTATTTAACTTCCTACGCCGCTTTATATCAATTCAATTACAGAATAATTCCTTTTACCAGACCTTTCCCCTTACATTTCATTAAAAACTTATCGTCTACACCTTTAATTTTATACAAAATTTAAATATTTTTCTCACACTTAGAAACAGTAGACAGCAGCTAATTAAAAAACCCAGCAGTAATTGAATGATGAAGCCATGTTTTTATCGAAAGGTGAAATTCACCCGAGTGTGAATTTGGAAGCCCCAGCGTATACAAGTTACGGCGGATGTGGGCATCCAGGAAGACTGAGAAGCCCCAAAAAGTTCAACAGCAGGAAGTCACGAATCCTGCTGTAGCAGGTCGTTTTAACTACGTTGGATTAGTCCTGCTGACAATTTATATTTTTTTAAAACTATACACAATATATAAATAAATAAAAAATTGTGTTAATATATTTACTTAAATTTATATAGAAATAAATAACTAGCTTGCATACCTACTT